TGACATTTGTTGCGCTTTCTGTGGCCTCAGGACCTTGGACCAGCACGGACAGGTCGCAATCCAGTTGCTTGAGGAGCTGCACGCATTGGAGACATGGCCCCCGGACTTCCAGGACCTGTGCCACATGTTGCAGAACACTGTACTGGTCGTGCAACTGCGACAAGCCAGCTACCGCACAGTCATGCGTCTAGGCTGGGAAGCCATCTTCACGGACCACAGAGTGAAGAAGCCCAAAGACCCTGGCAAGAGAAGCCTGGAAAGGGCGGTTCTGTCAAACAGGAATTTGAGAGGCTTGGCCTTTGCAGAGGAATGGTGGTGGAACACCGAGCACCTGGCCACTCACGGATGGCTCGCGCTGTGGTGGATGGAGATGCAGCTTGGCAGGGGCTGCCCCGAGGCTGGATTGTGCCTCATTCTCTTGATATCCCCTCTGTCTTCTGCCCTGGTGATGTTGACAGAGTTTACGTCAATGAAGCGACTCTGCAGACCAAAGTGTCGAAAGTTTGGAAAGATGAGCGTGATCTGGTCCGCGACTTTGGATTTTTCCTCTGGAAGACGCAGCAGTACATCAACAACCTGCACATCCAGCACTCTGGAGAGGGGGAAGCTCCACAGATAGCGCTGTGGGCCTGGACGCTGGAACAAAAGTTTGAATTCAAGAACAAGAAGAAAGCCAAGAGAGAGGCTTGAGCTGCAGATGTGAGCCAGCTTGTCTGCTGAGCCGGCTGCAGCAGTCAGCAATGGCACTTCTCGGGGACACCTGTCTGAAGATTTTGCGGACTCGTTTACGGGACGCGCGCCTTGTGGAAAGGAGTGCAACGAAACAGGTGTCAGAAACTTACCATGTCTAATGAAACTAACAGATCACTCCATCGCATTTGGCGAATTTAGCAAGGCTCAGTTGTTCTCTCTTGGTCGTTGGTCGGAGGACTAGATGCATTGGATCGAGAGATCCCCCATGCTTCCTCCCACTAGGGTAGGATTGGAGTATGTACGTGTCTGAAAATGTGGAGGTTGCAAAATATGTGTGTTCTTACTGGCGCGAGACAGTTGTTGCGAGCTAGAAGTGCTGAAGCTCAACGCCCAATGGGAGTTGCCGAGTTGATGCGGGCCTTTTTTGGAGTCTGTTGCAAGGCTTTCACCTTGATGCTGCGCGTTGTTTGCTGACTAGGGAGTTAGTGATACTTTGTATCGTAGCGTTTGTGGGTCAGAGGCGGGCCGATCACCGATGAAGCGGACGCGGGTTGCGATGCGAGCAAGCAGCGAGCCGGTGACAGCGCAGAGCTTGACAGACCTCCGCGGTCGCGGTGTTGGACACGGTGTTCCTGTTCGCGTGGAGCTGTTCAAAATCGAGGTGGGCGAAATTCGCCAGGCTGACACGAAGAAGGCTGGCAGTTTGTTCGCTGCGAGAAAGTAATCGAAGAATCAAGCAAACTTGACAGCAGCGGCAAAGTTTAGAAGGAATTCTCGCGCCATGCGTTCAAGGTGTGCGACGCTGGAACACGGGTAGTGTGGATCAAGAGCAAGAAGTACTTGATGCCATGCCTTTTCTGCAAATTCTACGTTACTGCAATTGGTTTGCTCCGGAAGGAAAACGAGCATTTTGTGGCTCTCCTCCCTGTGAGACAAATCTAGTGCTACTCCTTTCTACAAGGCGCGCGTCCTCGAAAGGAGTGCGCAGATCTCCCAAAAAGGTTACAACGCCGAGGCACAATACAACCCCTTGTCCGTCCCCACAAGGTGACTTACACCAGGGTTGCTTTGGTGACTGACCACGGTTTAACGAGGAGGAAGATGGCGGGTTCCTTAATGTGATGCATCTAGTTTCGCGATGAAGAGAGAATAGCTGAGCACGGGCAGGTCTTTAATGCCATTATCGTTGCACTCCTTTCCGCAAGGCGCACCTCTTGGAAAGGAGTGCGCAAGATCGCTCAAAAAGGTTACGGCGCCAAGGGGCAATACAGCCTCTGGGCACTCCGCTCAAGGCGACTTACGCCGCTTGTTTGGTTTCTAGTGTAGAAAAGTTTCATCGACCGATTGCAGCTCAAGGGCGAGGCAGATGAAGGATTCCTCAATTCCACGACGTAGAATCATCATGACGCATCCTCAGCATCACCAGTAGTCATGATGATAATCATGACGACGCTTCCTGTGCATCACCAATGCTCTCTAACTCAACACTTGAAATGTATAGTATAGAAAGAGATGGGGATGACTACGATGATGATGATGATGATATTGATGACGAGGGTGACAAGGCTGATGATTGTGATGATAGTTGTCCAGCAGTCATCATGATAATCATGTAACTGTCCAGCAATCCTCATGATAATCATGTCCACGCATCTTTTGCATTTCAAATCGGCTGATAATCATCACGACGCATCCTCAGCATCACCAGCAGTCATCATGATAATCATGCCCCTCAAGTCGCAAGAGAATCATCATGACGCATCCTCAGCATCACCAGTAGTCATGAGGGTAATCATGACGACGCACCCTTTGCATCAGCAATGCTCTCTAACGCCGCACTTCAAATGTATAGTATAGAAAGAGATTATTATAGAAAGAGGTGCTGATGACTGCGATGATGATGATGATGATGATGATGATGATATTGATGACGAGGGTGACAAGGATGATGGCAACGAGATCGTCATCATGATTCATCATCATCTCATTTTTCGACTTCAATTGTAGCAGAGCAGACATGAACAAGCTAGATGTAAAAGATGCGTGGATGTGATTATCATGATGACTGCTGGTGATGCCGGGGATGCGTCATGATGATTATCAGCCGATTTGAGGTGCAAAAGATGCGTGGACATGATTTTCATGAGGACTGCTGGACAGTTACATGATTATCATGATGACTGCTAGACAATTATCATCACAGTCACCCTTCCCGTGCGCCTCCCCTTTGGAGAAGGGGTCGGCGGATTTGTGTGGGTATGTGTGGAAACAAGAAACAAAATTAGGGAGGCCCCTTAAAGAGAAACCAACATGCAAGCAAGCACCAACATGCAACCAAGCATTTGCCCTTTGCATGTAGGGAAACCAACATCAAACGCACGTGTCGGGGTTGCCCTAAAACGCGGTTCGCCCTTTCAGAGACCAAGATGCACATGCTTTCGCCAGGCACTGCCCCGGCCGGAGGCGGGAGGAAACGGACCTTCCAGGGTGGCGAACTTGTGTGGCTGTGGCTTAAAGTGATCGGGAAGCCGCAAAATGGGGAGGGGAGGGACGAGACATCCTATGGAAGGCCGGTTTCAGGCTAGGCCGGTTTCAGGCTAGGCCGGTTTCATGCTGGTTTCTCTTGAGAACCATTCTGGAAATGGAGGGCTGTCCCAATCTTTGGTGCCGCTTTTACATGGTCTTCAAGTCCAGCGCTGCGGGTGTTCAACTCCCGTTTCTTCAAACAGCAGGGAAAAACCTTTTTTGGGTGCTTGGTGTATTGTGTGCCTTTGGATGCTACAGCAGGTTCACCACTTCGTCAACACATTTGGGTGCCACACTCGGCAAGAGATTGTAAAACCATCTAAAAATGTGAGCCCAGTGAGCAAAGGAAGGCGGCATGACCGCCGGAGATGAAAGCATGGCCATCAAATTGGCAAAACCAAAGCAGTCGGATCTCCACGTGTAGGCCTCCAAGATCCTTGCTGTCCCCCGACAAGTTGAATGAATGAACAAATCACAGTTCGGAATCCTTGCATGAGAATTCGCTGTTCCTTCTTCATAATTTTCAGTCAGAGGATCCCCTTGAATGGAGCACGGCAAGAGTTTGTAAGACCATCTAAAAATGCAAGCCCAGTGAGCAAAGGAAGGATCCCCTTGAGTGGTCAGGGATGTGTCACGGGAGTTGAAAGTCAATTCCTGCTTGCTAAGCTGCAGGCGGCCGTCGAGGCAAAGGGGGCAAAGGTGCTGGACCTAGAGTTGATGGATCGAAGCTGCAAGTCATAGGATGCAGTGGGACCCAAACGTAGACTAGAATATCATAAAGTTTAGTTGGGCCACTTTCTGAGTGCAAGATCAACTAGATCATGAAGTTGAGTTGGGCCACTGTCTAAATGCAAGATCAACTCGGGGCCACACGAGTGTTGGCCTTAGGAGGGGAATCCTTTTTTTTGTTAACATGGGAAGGAGACGCCAAAAGCAAGCAACAAGCATGTTTGGGAGTGGGTGTCCTATTTGGCAAAACGCACAGATTGATGTTTGATGCTTCGGGCCTGGAAAGCCGAGCTGGAAATCTGGAAAGGAGTCCAACCACTGCATGGTATTCCTTTCGTGGCTCTAGGGAAACCGGGAACCCGCAGCCCATTTTGGGGGTTCAGCACCTGAAGCAAAACGTCGCGAGTGCTTCGCGCCTGGCAGTGAGGTGGAAGAGGGCGCAGCCCAAGCTTCTGATATGTCGCCGGCCGAAAAAGAGCATCTCGGAAATTGCCTCTAGGTCCCCCAGCCAGGTGCCCTTTCTCACCCCTTCTTTGGTTGGGAGGGTTCCCCTACTAAAATAGACTACAGAAAAAAGTTGGTACCCTTACTCTAACCTCTCTACTGGAGGACCTAATTAGGGTTGAGTCAGAGAGAGGGAGCGAGAGAGAAAGAAACGTTCGGTTGAAGGTTTGTTTTTGGGGCCTTCTCCGTCTTTCCCCCTCCCAATAAATCGCTGCGTCGAACAGACACTGTGCGCTATCGCAAAGGCAAAGGCCATAAATCCTGACCACGTTTCCCGACGTTTCCAGCCTTCCGCTTGGCTGTGGCATTTCAGCCTCAAGGAAGCCGCGGGCTAGACGCTCGCCCGGTGTTAGATCGCGCGATTGACAATATGTGAACTGGGTATCCTGGTATTCCCGATCATGTGAGTCAGTGTTGAAAGGCCTGCATAGTTTGTTTTTTGTCTTTTCTCGAATGCATCCTTCGATCGACCGGTATACGACAGCCCATGGTGGGTTCCGCAGCCCATTCGCAGAGTTGTATGTTTGCACTGCTCTACCAGGGTCGTAGCGACAGAGAATAATTTAGTTGAATCCGCTGCGCCCACGTGGAAGTGCAATGAGCGGCGAGACCGACTTCGTTCTTTTGGGCCCGACTGGATTCCTTGGCTCCGCAATCCTGCGGTACTTAGAGTCATCCTCCTTTTCTGTATTTCCATCGAGTCTTCGACTGAAGGACCGCCTCGGTCTTGAAGCACTCTTGGATGAGAAGAAGCCGAGATTAGGTTGCCCAGTTGCCCAGCCAGCGCCATTTTCCCCGCTCTAGTTCTTTGTGGAGCGCGTTGTTTTCTCCTTGAAATCCACCAAAGCAGGAAGACCTTTTTCCGGCCAAATGGCCGCTGCGGAGCGTAAGGCGTCATTTGCGCTGCCGGGGAGCGTGGCAGGCCCAACATCGCCTGGTGCGATTCTCATCCGGTGGAGACCGTGGATTCCAACATCACCGGACGCTTGAGCCTGCTGGTCATTTGCGATGCGTCTTGTGTGGTTGAGCTCCCCGTGTTTATTGCGTCGGTCCCCCAGTACCCTTGTACCCTTTCTTTGGGGAGGGTTCCCCTACTAAAATAGACTACAGAACAATGGGTACCCTTATTCTAACCTCTCGGAGGTCTTAGTTGCGTCTTCCATTTTCTGAGATGAATATGCTTCATTTCTCCCTGGTGGTTTTAAAGGGAATCTACTACTGGACAATATGTGTTGCGTTTTTCCAGGGGGCTTAAGCAATTGGAGGTTGTGTACTTCTGAAGCGGGCTTATCGCGACTTATATGAAAGGGGAGATTGGAAGGGTGCTTATCGAGCTCCACTTCTGTTTTTCTTGGGTGTTTATCAGTGGGAAAACATGTATGCCTGGGCAGGGCTCCTTAAAAGATCTCCATTTTGCCCATTTGAAACATGGCTTTTTCCACCAAAATACAGGGACACCGCCATTTACAAGGCAATGTTCAGGTGTATAATGTAAGGATCCCTGCTGGGGTTTTGGTCTTTTTAGCTTCACTTCAAAACCTCCAAAGCGCCCTCCCCATAGAACTGGCACCAAGGACAGTTCTCAGTGGCTGCGGCCTGCTTTGAGCGTGGCCTGCACGTGACGCTCTTGGGCACAGGAGCCTTGTATGTCGCCGACAGCCGGAAGCGAAAGTTCTCGGAGAGTGACCCACCCAATGGGGGCTCTCCTGGTGTATACACTGCACTCAGGCAGAAGATGGAGGAGCTGGCCACTTATTTCAGTAATGTCTTGATCTTGCGGGTGCTCTACCCACTGAGTTCAGATCTTGACGCGCGAGGCCTTCTTGGCAAACTTGCGCCCCGGTCACAACATAGGGGGTTGTTCGCCAACCATTCCAAACCTATGAGCTCCTGAATGCATATCTTGCGTCCTTTGGCCCTATTCTGGCTCTTTTGCTTCTTTGGACGTGGAAGAGAGTCCTGCTGGAAGCTCTTGTTGCTTTTCTCAAGTCAGCAAAGTGAAGCAAGCCTCGCTCGAGAACTTCTCCTAGGCCAGGTTTCAGCGGATTGATCGCGTGGAGACCTCCATCACCATCTTGGAGGACCTGTTGCCCTTGATGCCGATCCTCGCCCAGCGACGTGCTGTGGGCGTTCTGAACTTTGTGAATCCTGGCACGGTGTCATACCCGGAGATAGCCGGCGCCCTACGCCTGGTGACCTGCAAGTGAAGAGCAATACCTACTCAAAGCATGGCAAGCATACCGTACTCCGCCAATACAAATGTGTTGCGTTTACCAGGCAAGTACCTACTCTAAACTCGGTGCTACTTGTCAGGCGGTGCAAGACCGTGATTTGCCGCTTGAACATCGTAAGTTTTGCTTGAAGTCTGGAACGCTTGGGACGTCTCAGGTGTCTTTGCTGACGGACAGAATTGCCCAGTGTACATCTGTGAAATGGACACCTCCGCAGATTCAAGGACCGGTTTTGCCGTGAGTCATTATGGGTGAGGATTGGTTTCCGTTTGGTTTTCTGAAATATCAACTAAAATGGGGGTCCACCATTTTGAGAAACACCCATGACATGGCGCGTTGACCACTGGCTGCACTGAAGCAAGGAATCTCACGCATCAGCTGGGTTGGCAAGCAAGCATTGGAACTGATAGGCACAATTGTTCAAGTGTTGACGCCCACGCAAATGGCTGGTTTTATGCTGGATCACTTTTGACACCCTGAAGAGGTCGTTCTTTTTTGACACACACACACAAACACAAGTAATAATGAGTCATGCGCGAACTCAGCGACAGACCCCGATGGTGGTGACTGCTTTCATTTCTCGCAGCTAGCCTGCCAGCGCCGGACGGTGTGGCTTGTGGCTTCGCAGAAGAAGTGTAGCGAAAGAAGGGCGAAAGAGATACGTCTCGCAAAGAATGGCCTTTTCCGGCAGGAGTTTGCTCAACTGGAAACCACATCAGCTGGCATTCGTGGAACACCTGAACGCCAAACAGCCCACGCCCGCGCCAAACACTAGCAGCGCCCAGCCACCGGGTGCCGCCGCCGACCAGCAATCGGAACACCGGCCGGACACCGAGGGCAGCGGCAGGACATCTGCCACGGTGCGCCCAGCCAGGGGATAAACTGGAACAGCTCCGGGACACAGCAGGGACACAAGGGAGAGCAACTACAGAAAATCACCAGGATAGCACCACCATAACATCACCAAGCGTCAACTGATCAAGACATGACCCAGAACACCAACCAAGACACCACCGGCGGAGCATGCGTGACACAAGCCAGGCACCACCGCCCACAACATCAGCACGGGACACCACCGGACCTGATGGACCACCAGCGGGAATTCACCAGAACGCTGAGACACCATTGGGAAAACTGAGGCACCACCAGGAAAGTATCAGGACAGCACGACACCCCCAAACACACGGACACTTTCCGGGTGATGGAGCCCCTTCCCAGAGCGTAAGGTATCCAATGTTGGAGCTTACTAAAGCGAGCGTCAGGGCGCGGACCGATTCATTGAAGCTGATTCAGAAAGGAGTCCTACTTGTGTTCCTGCCAAATGAGTGTCTCTCAAAGGGCTGTGACGTGTCAACCGACCAAGAAGTTGATGGTAGTGCTTGATTTCCGGCCAGTGCTTTATGTCGATGAAACCGGGGAGGGTTGCCCGCGAGGATCCTCCGCCGGCAAAGCTGCTGCGGAGCTTGACACCGTACGATTGCAGGAGGGCTTCGTACCGCTCGGAATCCGGGATGTCCAAGCTTCCCCTGCTGGGTGTGAGTTTTCATTGGCCCGCTTGGTGGACATCATCCGCATGGGCATTCCGTTCGCCAGAAATATGGGATCTGGCAAGCTCGCGGATTGCCGGTAAAACAAGCTCTTGTCCCACGACGAAGTGTCCCCTTACCCCTGAAGAATAATAGGGCAAAAAACTAATAGAGGGTCAATCAGGATCATAAGCACTCTGGCAAAAATTCGAATCTCTACACTTTACATGTCTACATAATTGTGTAGAACATAGCTCAGTCCTTCTGGCATATGGTGAAATGCGGCCAACAAGACTTTGTGTAGGATTGCTGATCTTGGATGCCAGGGGGGTTGTCCTGTTGTTTTCCCTTGCCATCCAAAAGAGGTACCCTCAAAAAGACATTCGCAGCCCGTGGAAACCACAAAGAAAAAACGGTCCAAAGTAGCAAACCTTTTGTAACTTCCCCGAATAATTTTTTGGGGGTTCTCACGAGGGTGAGAGGTATCACAGCTGCGGGTGTTCGATGTTCCTAGAGACGATTCGTTTGCGCCAACGGTGCTGGTGAGGTGGGCCGTTTGAGGCAAATTTGAGTACTCTGCCACCCCCCAGGTTGCCAATGAAGAAGCTACTAGACTGGATTCCATATTCCATGTATCAGTGGGTGGGAGGGTAACTCAAGGAATGGTACATGTCCAAATCATACCAGTGACATGTTCAGATTGGCGGCTCATTTGCAAACCCCGACCGACACCTGTAGATTGTCGGGTGTGGGAAGTTCCCAATTGTAGGATTGGCCATCGACTTGGTAGCGGTTGCAAGAAGGACTGTGACCTTGGACGAGTGATCCTTGCAGGACGCAACGGGAACAACTTTGCCACAGGCACGGCAATTCGCATGATGGGTGTACACGTAAACTGCGCCCATCCTCAGGCAGCTCCACGAGCACTCAGTGGGCCCGGCCCGGAAATTCGATTCAAGCAAGGGACTCATGAGTCATGAGGTAGCAACAGATCTCTATTCTCAGAGGTTTTTCATTACCCCTTTTGGAAGGTTGCAGTGACGCATGGCCATGAAAACAGGCCTGCTGTGTGGCTGGGAACATATCGTGACCCTGAGAAGAAAACAAGGAACCCCTCCAATGTGGACCCCTCTTCAACAGTTGCTGAATCACCAATACTTGAGCCACGATCAAAAGCCGGGTAAGTGAAGGTTGGTAAGGGACGATCCCAGCCATAAATAGCTGCGGCCGCCTTCTTAGTTGTTTACGTGGTTCTGGGTCGACCATTTGTGTACCGGGTTTTGATTGTAACTCAGTTGCAATACCTGTTGATTTTGAGTGCCGTGGCACAGGCTTTCGAGTCGGCCAAGCGAATCATATGCGGGCTGAGCGAAGACGAGGTGAAGCTATTTGCTAGGAGCTTATTGTAGGTGCCAAAAAGAGAGGTGCTACACCAGAAGCTGCAGCAGGAACAAGGAAAAAAGGGGCTAGTATCCAGGCGGAACAGGAGTTGTAGGAATCATGTTTGAAATTGCTCAATTATCATATAGATGAGCATTTTGCCCTGCAAGTGTTTGACTGCAGGCCTGCCCCAATTTGCGCTGCCACTGCCTGCTGTTGCACTCGCACGCTGTCCAATATGGCTTTGAAGCACCGCATGGTTGGTGTGGTTTCCAACTATTGCACAAACTGACAACAAGGGGCAATGCAATGCTACGCATCAAAGAGGTTGCCATGAACAAAATCTCAGCTGGCCTTGCGCATCGAAATCTCATCGCGCCATGAGCAAAGTCATAGATGAGAGCATGGTGCCCCCGACGCTTGCAGATGACACAAGTCGGGGACTCAGAATGAAAACATGGTACACAGTCTTGGCAAAGGCGAGCATCTAAGTCGGAGAGTGGGCTGCATATACGCCACTCTAAAGCCATCGTCTGAAAGTAGAGAGGCCTGCTTGTTATTTTTCGGGAATTGAGTAGGTTTTTTTTTCAGCACAGATTTCTGGAGGATGACATGCAGTTCACAAAAATGCGCCAGACTTCTCGCATTCCAAGGACTGAAGGATGTGGAAGAAGCGATGTCTGTTTCCCCAGATCCACCCATGGCAAGTCCGATCTCTGCAGTCCGCTCAGGCGGGCCATGCTTTCAGCAGACGGCCAGGAATTTAAGAAGGAGCCACTTGAAAAGTGGCTGGTGGACATGAATCCGTACCTAAATTCACCCCAGATCCCTTGTTTAGCTCCGAAGAATATCCTCAATTTTGGAAGCCGAACAATATCAAATGCCTGAAGACAGATATTTGTAAAGAGTTGCAAACGTAGGCGGTGCAAGAATGAATGCAAATGGCTGTGGGTCAAAAACATGTACCCAAAATGGAATCCTGGTAAATGGAAACATGGACCAAAGCCTGCGGTCCCCTGGTGGTTTAATTTTGACCCATGCCCATATTGTGTGTCAAGCACGCACGGACCGTGCGAATTGTTGAGGCGCAGTGTTGTGACCTGCGATTGATTCCAGGTCTATCAGGGGCATTGCCTCTTCAACGAATGAAGACCAAGGGGGCCTCACGAGAAGTGTTGGGCTATAGCCAGCTGTCCTTGCAAGAATCAGCCTATGAGAATGCCTTTTTGCTCCCGCTCATATCAGGGCGATTCTTCGGCAAATCTGCTTTTCTTTTGCTTGTCAACTTCATTTTGCAGTATTCTGTCGCATACCTGCTGTACAGAAGAACCACATTGACCCGAAGTGTCTTGCGAGCAAGCCTGTTTGGCAACGGAGAGGACTCGTCGAGCACTTGCTGGCAGACAGACGAGACAGGCATCATGTGCACGGCAGACGAAGTGTTCTATGGCACAGCGTTTTCCCGCCTGGATGAAAATGGTGATGGCAAGTGGACCTTTGAGGAGGCTTCCAAACTGGACTCACATCACCTTCAAACCACTGGGCGGCGCTTGAACATTACTCAGGTATACAAGAATGTGCTTCATCAGATGAGGAAGTTTGCAGGTTCTCGTGTTACAAACTGCGATGTCAATCATGATGTGCAAGCATTCGATATCTCGTGGGGCTACTGGGAGCCGGCTCGCATTTCGAACATTACCAGCGAAGACTATATAGTTGTGAATTACAATGACCCTGCAAAGCAGGATGAGCTTGCCAGATATCTTGAGCCGCATCATGTCAGAAAAAAGCTGGAGGGTGTGATTTACGCCTGCAGTGTTCCCAAGTGCGTGGACATGGACAATGGCGCTACAGATGCCTCGGAAGCCACATGCAGGGACTACAATGGCTTCGATGCTTGCTCGGGTCACTGGGATGACGATGATTTCGACGTGAACCACTTGTGCTGCACCTGCGGAGGCGGATCAAAACGTTTAGCTCTCACAGGCTTTGATCATCTTCCCGTGGCTCTACCGTTGGAAGCGGTCAGCGAGCTTCGCGCATTCCGACTTTGCATGCAAGAAGCCATTGTCCAGGCGCAGCAAGACATTTGCATTATCAACTTTACGTCAATTCCAAGAGCAGTTTATGAGGAGGAGATCGAGCAGTTTGCTCGCTTTTGCGTGGCGCCAGAGGCTGATATATGTAGTAATTTGGGGCAGCGGGGGCTGCTACCTGAATTGAACCTCAATATTACCTCTGCGGTACCATTGTTTCTCAAGGTTGTCGGCATTGGCAGTCCTGCGGACTTGACGCAAGAGAATGTGTGCAGAAAAGCCGTCAGCCTCTTCTGTCCCAGCATATTCACAATACAATCCACTCTGCATCACGAGCAACGATCCGTGATTTGCGGCAGAAAGTCGGCGAAAGTCACTTCAAGTGACATCACAGTCACCTATGCGACCAGCAATGTGTACGAAGATGCAACATTTGGTCTTACTTCCATGATGTTCCAAGGCTTTTTGTTTTTGATCGTATTTCTTTGGGGCCTTGCCTCTGTGGCAGAGTTCCGGAGCATATTGGTTTGGTGGAACGTGCTGCTGGCCTTACCCACCTGTCATGTAGCCCACAGCATTACTGAGAAGTGGTCTGAGGGGGAGGAGTGCGTCTTGGATGTGACTGGGATCCCCAACGCTATGCGGATCTTGACCATTGGGCTTAACCTGCTCCCGCGGAGCATGTTACTCAGATAAACCAACAGGCAAAGGTTGGAGTTTGTTTGGCGTTTCTTCTGAACTGGTTTCTCTATATTATTCGACCAACAGAACATAATGATATAGATTGTTGCTTAGCAGCTCAACCTGTTGCAAGGTTCTTTTTTAAACCACCCCCAATTGGAACGGGCGCCTCAAACAAAGATAGGCTGCAGTGCTGCATCTTCATCGTTGGGATCCAGTACCTCTTGTCTGTGCGGAACATCAGCGACCTAATTTTGAACAGCTTGGCCTTGACCTTCCTCGTCACAGTGGCAAAGCAGATTGAGGGGTTTCCATGTTCAACTTGATTTGTCGAGGCTTTTTGGTGTGTGCATTTTGGGGTACTTGTTAGAGTTGTTCTGAAAGAAAGCCACAAAGGGTGACTGAGGCCCCAGGACATTTGGAGAACTGGAGACACAAACCGTTGCTAACCAAGGGGTGCTATATGTGTGGCTTGGTTAGGCCAAGGTGGGTGTGGCTCAAAATTAAACGATCGGAGGGGCAAACCGCAGGTTTTGGTCCATGTTTCCATTTTGGAAGTCCGGTTTTTTGAGCCACAGCCAAGTTTAGAAGGCAAGTGGAACCAAAGACCAAAACCTGCGTAACCCTAGCTCTTTAGTTTTGAGGTGGACGAGATGCTCTTCGCAGCCTTCGCCGGCGCACAGAACGCGGTGTGGATCCAGTCTGCCAAGCCGGTGCAGGGCCGGTCCTTTGGGTGTGTCATGGTTGGCCGTTGGTTGAAACCTTTTTCCCATTTTCGCTTGTTGTGGTTTACTCACTTCCTGAGTTCATGAACTTGAAACTTTTTGGGAAGACCATTTTAGTGGTAAATATAAAGTTTGAGCTTTTTTTGGGCCATCCACTCAGCAAGTGAGTTTAGTGGTTGAAATCCAATTTTACATTTTTGCTTATTGTGGTTTAGTGGTTGAAATCCAAATCCACTGAACTGCTAGAATTTGAGAATTGTTGCTCCCCAAACCCAACGTCAACCAAGGTGTGGACTGGATCCTACAAAAGACCCACATCCCGCTGGGCATGTTTATTTTCTTCCCGATATTGATTTGGGAGACCTACTTCTTGGTCTCAAACAAGGTGACGACCGACCAACTGGCCCAGGCTACTTACTGCCTGTGCGACTTGAAGGGTGACACCTGCTTTGCCCCAGAGTTTCTCAGAGCTTTGTGAAAGATGTCGGTGCGCGGCAATTATCGCGCAACCAGATGACGATGTTTCACCTTCACAGCCGAATGGCCTGCGAAGACATGCGAGAACGAACCAAACAAAGAGGTGCAAATGAGGGTCTTGCTTTTCATTGGCGTACTCGGGAGAATGCGTGGTTGCAATCAGAGCCTTTGTGTGTGTGTGTGTTGTTTCTTGTTTTTGTTGTTGTTTTTGTTTTTTTGGTAGCTTGACCCTGCACCATCCAATTTGTTTTGGAGAGATCGCATGCGCCGTTTAGCCATCATAGCAGATGCTCCTGTTTTTGTTGCCTTTGGCCACAAGCAGCGGCGAAGGTGAATGGAGTATGGTTTGCAGCCATTACTATATTTAAGATATAATGGTTGGCAGTCATATCAGAAGTATGGTCCGAAATGGAAATTCATTCAAAATATGTGTGTGTGTATATGTATATATAAAATTTGTTTTGATTCCTTATGTGGTATGTATTTAGTACAAAATGATTGAGTAGGGAGTCGATTGAATTGTGTTGGTTAAGAAATTTAAGGTTTAAAAATATATATATAGTGTTATATATATATAATTGATTTAAAGAAGAATGAATAAATGATAATTGATGGAATTAAGGGGGAAATGTTAATTTAGGTTTATATTCTTAAATGATTAATAGAATATATATATATATATATATTTGTGTTTTAATTATTTTATAAAATGAAATTGAGAAATTTGTTTGTCGTACTTGTATGTGTTTTTTTTCGGCCCGCTTTTTGGAAAAATTTATTTGGAAGATATAATGGTTTTGTTTAACGGTTATGAATGAGGAGATATATGCCTAAATTCTGAATCTAAAAAAACACAATAATTTCGTTTAAAGCCCGAATTATTTTTTTAAAATATCCCGAATATTTCGATAATTTTACTCTAAACTATTTTTCCGAATATTTCGAGAAAATGATAAATGGTTATGATTCTCGGATCGCTTTGCTAAAATATTTAGAATATTTTGGGAAATTGATCTTTTTAGAAAATGAAATTATTATGTTTTCCGCATATATGCCGGGGTAGCCTAAATAGATTTGGGTAAACGGTTTATAGGAAATATAAAGCGGTTATATTTTTTAGGAGCAATTTAGATTAATTTTCCGAAATATTCGGGAGACTTGGGTAATATATTTACTTGTTCGTAGTAATTTTTGTTGAAATTTTGGTTTATTTTCCGAGAGTTTGAGTCGTGGCCGATTGTTGTGACTAGTGGTGTTTTTTATGGTTTAGGGCGAAATTAATTCGGTTTAGCTTGCACCTAGGATATTTTTTGGTCGATTGTGTTTTCGCTTGCGCTTGTAACAATTGTGTATATGAATGGATTTTTTGAGGCCAATAGCCTTGCTTAGGCGACCGCCTTTTACTGACTCTTTGGCGTGACCTTATCGCGACCAGCCCGGCCCTCAGTGCGTCTCGCGATTTGTGTTTGAAGAACGGCAGCATGCTTTTCGTATGCGACGAGTATACATTTTTTGATACGTATGAGATGATAAAATATATTGGTGCCTGAGTTGCAAAAAATGTCTTGCCGGCGCGGGATCTATAAGATCTTGCCTTTCTTTGGCACCCGCCTCAACTTACCCCTAATTGCTTATATATAATTATTAATTTATTTTAAAGAATGATAATTATAATTAACAAAATATTTATTTTTCAATATTCGAATTAATTTTTAAATTAATATTAATATTTAATATTATCCGATTATTATTGTATTAAAATTATTTTAATAATTTAATAAAATTAAATAAAATAATATATAAATAATCATTTTAATTATTATATAAATAATAAATGCATAATCTTAATTTATTTTTAATTTATTGTTTTATAAAATAATTTATATTATATTAATTTTATAATATATAATTATATTATAATTAATTATTTAATTTAATAAATTATTATTATTAAATATAAATATTAAGAAAATCATAAATTAATATTTATTAAATATATAATAATATAATTTGATTTTAGAAATCTCGTTATAATTTGATATAATTGAATAATTAACATGAGCAAAGTGGTCGCGATTCCATGTCGCCAGGTGATCAACTGCTTGCAGCAGCGCTTCTATAGCCCCACCCAGGAGTGCCCTTTGTGCCTTTGTGGATGAGGGCAATGCCACGACAGCTTCCTGGAAGGACATTTTTGTGGCGTCAAGTATCGCCAAGTGCATGTATGTGATAGCAAAGGCGGGGTTCTCAGCTCTGCACCGGCTTGCACTTTGGTCGGACGCTTTGTAGTCAAAATATTTAAATTAATTATATATTTAATTAAAATTATTTGGTTACTCATATTCTGGCAGCCTAAAGACTAACTAATTCTTCGAATATATATTAATATATATTATTATACTTCTATTGTTTTTCCGAAATATATATAATTAATAAGAAATTTATTTGGTTAATTACCATCGCCAAATCTAAATAGATTTAAATAATATTCTAATTTATTGTCTGATGGTCCTTTGCGGCTCTTCTTACAACAATGATTGATATCTATAATTTAGATTGGATTGACATTTATATGCACGATGAGGGCTTTCACCAGGGAAATCCCTCCAAGCCGCGTAGGGGAGGCCATCAGGGCCAGGCGCACTGTCCTTCGTGTGCAGCAGCACCTTCTGGATGGCCCCTGGTGTGGGAAATGGCACTTCAGGCCACAAAAGGTTGCCTCGTGCATACGTGTCATTACACATGAATTAGTCGTTCAAAGAACAAAATCTTATTAATTATATAGAAAACAACTGCTAGTCTCCAGGCGGTAAAAACACTCTGTAGGCCCGCTTAATCATAATGCGGTAGTGCAATACAAACCAAGGCGGTGTTTTGTGATTTTGTTACTTGAATTTATATAACCTTTCGCATAAATTGGAATTGCTTTAAATATTATATTCCTAGTACAATATTGCATTTTTGTATTTCGGATTTGCTAACAAACTTGCCCTAAATAATAGTAGCTACAATATGATAGCCTAATTATCCTCAACTTCTCGAACTAATTTCTAGCTAGTTAATATTGAATTTAAGCATTTATTCTTAACTTGGGCGGTCCTCGCCTGACCTTTATTTATGATTATTACCTTAATGATCTATTAGATTAACAAATATATTCTAAGACCAAACATTTGTTTACCCAATATATATATTTATTTAGAAATCGTTTAGTTGTTTTTTCGAAATATATATCATGAAAAAATATATTTATGAATTGATATATAGTTTGTTATTTGTCATTAAAATATTCAACTAAATATAATATAATTTATATTTAAAATATATTTATAATTCGCTATATAGGCTCTTGCCTATATACTACTATATGTATTGCCGACATAGATTTGGGATAATTTAATTAGGAATCGTTCTAATAGCATAAGATAAAATATTTAGATTAAACAATTATACAAATTTGTGCGTGCTATAACCAAAGAACTAATTGAATAATAAAAATTATAATTACAATAATTAGATTATAAATATAATATATTTATATAATATATTCTTTTTTTTATATAAAAAATAAAATAAAATTATTGTTAATATATATATATATATATAAATTGAATAAAATTAAAATATAATATAATATATTAATATATATTAATATATTATTATATAAATTTTGTAAAATAAAATAATTTAATATACAAAAAATAATAATTATATAAAATCAATAAATATAATATATTAGCGGGGGCCCGTTACTTTCCAGTAGCATATGAAATACAGCCCATAGTAACAAAATAACACAAAATATATCTTTAGAAAATCGCCCCAAATCATTTTAAACCCATTACAGATATATAGTTACTTCATAAACTTATACTCAACGATTAAGGTATCTCGTAATCGTATAACCAAGCAGCATAATAAAGCGCAAGCCGACAATCTCCCTAAAATAGCATGTAACCAGCTAAGAAATATCATGGCAAAACCTAGCTACAGCAGCGCAATGCGGAACAAAACAAGGACAATTTCTCATATCCATATTATTAAATTATTAATAATTATGAAATTGAATTATTTATTGTTCCATTAACAAAAACATGTTATAAAAACAAAAATTGTTAGCACCAGTAATAGATTCGAGCTCTTAGAATATTCCGGAAATGCAATTTTATATATATGCTACCAAGTACTACTAAAAATACGACATCGTATTATTTCCATCTATAATATTTGAATTAGGGTAAATAATAACCTATATATCCGTGCCCAACAACATATTTCGCCCTACAATCAAAAACAAAAATCTAGCAACACCTCCATTATATAGACTGCCACAATAACATATTATCGCATAAATTTGTTTTCGATAACAAAACTATTAAAATGTCTTAAACTTCATCTAGTAATATTTTATATACCAAACCCAAGATAAAGAAACAACAATATTTTCATAACAAGTATTTTTAATATATATATGGTTTTTCGCCACGAAATCTTATATAGTTTCTATTCGGGCAAAGTCGACATTACGGAACGGAATAAGAATAATAGCCCCAACCGCGATCACAACAATGCATATCGATCAGCCGTTTACTTAATCATCATAGAATATTATCGCCATAAAAAGACATCCCAAGCTCATGTTACTATCCTTTATATGGAAAAAATCGTCAAACATATTCAAATCTTCAGTAACAATATTATCAAATTCGTCAATATTCTCAGCACCATTTAGCTCAGTAAGTCATCGCAAACGACCACGAATTTTAGATTATATATCTATGCAATTATCTCGGGGTATATTCTCCACCCAATCGTCGTTATACGTAGTAGGTGTAGCACGAAATTAAGTCTATAACAACACGCGTATCCGGATCTCCAATAAGCATGCCGAATACAGCACATTTACTCAAGAATAAATCCGTCAATAACACGGCGACACAAGAATGCAACTAACACAGATACACAGTATCGCATCCGAGCTACGCCCTTGTCGTGTCTTGGCTGCACATTGCAGAGTGGGAGTAAGCGACAAGCCTCGATAAATTAGTTCACCGAAAATTGGCGTGCATATATAGACCGGAAAGCTTCAACATTCCCATCTCTATCTGCTAAAATCCAAATAATCTCATGTAGAAAGGCA